GGGTCTAAAGAGGCAGCTCAGTGGTTAAGAGCACTGGCTACTCTTGCAGAGGATCTGGGTTTGATTCCCAGCACCCACATGGTGGCTAATAACCGTCCGTAACTCCAGTTCCAGGGGAATCCAAAGCCCTCTTCTAACCTCCTCAGGCATTGTAGGACATGGGTGCACTCACATACATGCAGGCAATATACCCATACACACAAACTAAAAAGAATGAATTTTTTTTTAAAGAAAACAAGGTGAACAGCACATGAGGAATAAGAGCTGACGTGGTCCTCTCACCACTACATGCACGTACACTTACACTTGCACACACATGAACATGCACACACACCCAGAGAGAGAATGGAAATGTAAACATATGCTCGTATTCAGCACTGAAGACATTTCATCTATAATGTAATTTATGTAATTTATCAGCATAGTCCTTTGATTACTTAAAAGTTCTCTTGATATGTGGGAAAATATATGCACAAAATTATAGTATTACAAATACATGATGATTTTCATCTGTTTTAGTTACTTTTCTGTCATTAGGATAAAACACCAGGACCAAGGAATCTTATAAAAGGAGAGTTCTTTGGGTTTGTGGTTCCAGAGGAGTAAGAGTCCATCACAGCGGGGGAGACAGCTGTGGCAGAAAGCTACATCTTCAGGCCTGCATAGGAAGCAGGGGGAACAAACTGGAAGGGGGCGGGGCTATGAACTCTCAAAGCCCAGGCCCAGTGGTGTGCTTCCTCCAGCAAGGCCACACCTCTTAAAGGTCCCATGACCCTCCCCAAAGAGCACGGCCAACCTACCAAGTGTTCAGTGTTCCAGGTGGGAAAGGGGATTTAAATTATGGAATTTAAGGCTCACGTTGGTTTTTACAAAAACTAAATTGTGAGTCCCTGGCAAATGGGGACCCACTGTGTTCACCTGTGTAACAGGAATGTTGAGTCACGCTGTGAGCCTGCCTTGGAGAAGCAGCTAAGGCAGAAAGAGGTTAAGATACGATCCCGGTGTGGCACACTCAGTAAGTGCTGATGTGGACACAGCAGTGCCTTCAAGCATGTGGGATGTGAACACAGGTGCTGTCCTCGCTGGCCTGGCCCAATGTGGGCACTCCTCACCGGAGAGTGGCCTTGTGGGACAAGGTCTTACAATGTAGCCATAGATGACCTCAAGCTTGTGGCAGAGCTCCTGCCTCAGCCTCCTGAGTGCTGAGATTATGGCATGGACCACTGGGTGGTATATCCCTTCGTCCCAGAAGACTGGCTGGGAGTGATCATGGGAACTTGAAGGTATATTTGACCTTAAAACCTTTCATCACTGTGCAAATAGCCAAACCTTAGCGGGAGTAATTAATATTAAAGGAGAGGGTGGAAAGCCTCAAGCTCTATTTTAGGGAGAAATGAACAAAATAAGCTGATGAAAGCGACTCCATAGTTCTCTTCTCCCCCAGTTTGTTTCCTGGGCCCCCAGCTAATCCTACTTTCCAGTCATTAGGATGACCAGGAACATTTGGACCTGATTCATGGTTCCCATAGCGACTTTGTGAGGGTTCACTCAACAGCAAGTGTTAAGTGTTTCTCAAACCTCTCCTGTGTGCCAAGCACAGTTCTATACAAGAATTCACTAATAACGAATGGAGCAGGTGGAAATCTTTGCCGTTGAGCACCTGCCCCCTTTGTCAAACCCAGAGCGACACTGGGAAAAACCCAGTTGCACTGAGAAAACTGGGGCCCATGAGAATAAAGTGACCTTTACAGGGTCCCAGGGTAGTAAGCCTGGAGTCAAGATGTGCAGACACATTCAGATCACGAAGCCCGTGCCTCTCTTGCCTGGCCACAATGCACTGCAATGGTGTGATGTTCAAAAAGATGATACTGAGGGACAGTAAAGAGACTAAATCCCAGCCAACAGACTGCATTTGTCTGTTTTTTAGAGCCGATTTCAATGAAAGCATTAAAAAGGACGGCTCTCAACTGCAGGAGTTGAAGCAGTTCGAAAGGTGGGTTACTTCACCCAGATGAGCCCAGGGCCCAAACCCTCCCCTGACCACTGTGAGCTCATCTGTGTAGGTGGTGCAGAGACTGACTGCAGCCTCCACCCACTGTAGATCAGTTCAGCTGATGGAGCACAGAACTCCCCCATCTGAAATCACCTTTTCCCAAACTGCAGGCAGGCTAGGAGAAGATGGGGAAGCCCTGCGGAGACCACTGGGGTTTGAGAAGGAGGAAATGAGTCACTAAATTCTCCCACCAGGCTGTGAGCGACTGTGTACAGTAAAAGTACTCCTCTTCATAAATCATCACAACAGGGAACTTTAAAAGCATGACCTCTTGATTTGAGCCACATGGTTTACCAAGCCACGGTTGAAGAGTATCCCTCCTTTTGGCAAACCTTGTAGAAACTGTCCAATTTGTCCCATTTCTCTGTACCAGCTTGGTGGCAAGAACGACTCTGTGGTTAGTGGATTACTTCTCTTTTTCCATGTGCTGACCTCATCCTACCTATCTGCTTAAAACCTACAGCACACAGGTGCGGCAGCAGCAACAGGGTGGGCCTGGAGTGGAGCTCAGCGGCAGAGGCACGTGGAACCTCAATCTGTATAAACCCCCATGTTTGACTCCAGGCTTCATATAAGCCCCATTCCAGTTAGACTTTTTATTTATTTATTATTTCTCTCTATATATTTTTATGTGTATGAATGTATTGCCTGCATGTATGTGAGTGCACCCGTGTTGTGCAGTGCATCAGAGGTCAGAAGAGGGCGTTGGATTCCCCTGGAACCGGAGTTAAGGACAGTTTGTAGTCGCCATGTTGGTGCTGGGAATCAAACCTGGTTCCTCTGCAAGAGCAGTCAGTGCTCTTAACTGCTGAGCCATCTCTCCAGACCCTATTATTTTTATTTTATGTGTATGTGTGTATTGCCTGCATGTAGGTAAGTGCACCGTATGGTGCAATACCCATGGAGGTCAGAAGAGGCTGTCGGATCCCCTGGGACTGGAGTTATGGACAGCTATTAGCTGCCATGTGGGTGCTGGGATTCGAACCTGGGTCTTCTGCAAGAACAACTAGTGTTCTTAACCACTGACCCACCTCTCCAGCCCCACATTCCAGTTAGGATTAACATTTTCAGCAAATATTATACATAGGTCACCTGACCTGCTCTGGCTGAATCTAGTGTTCTGTGCAAAGAGTGTAATATTTTTCAAGACAGAAAATGTGAAAAACATTGGATGGTCTGTCACACTGTTCAGGTTCCCACAACTCCTGATCCAGGGTCCTTCCTTGCCCCCTAGTGTGGGGATATAGACTGGAGTCACTAGGCCCAGTGCAGGGGTATTTTACACAGCACCCAAATGCAGTGACAGATTGCAACTGAATCCCCAAAGTCTGAGTTCACTTAGGAGCTGAGGACTCCGAAGGGCCAAAGCCCAAATACGCAGGTGTTAAAAGCCACGTTTTGGGGAAGCTGTGGCATGAAGATCTTCGGCTGTGAAGTGGCCTCAAGTCCTGTCACCTCCTCAGGAATTGTTCTCATTCTTGTAGGTGAAGGGTCATCTTAAAGGTTGTCAGTTGAGCTGACAGATACTACCCTCTGGTCAGGAGGGTAATCTGAGGCAGTTTCCAGGATGGAATGCAGGTGGTGGACTCATGTACAAGCTTGGGGACAGAAGTCCTGAGGAGAACCAGTGCCATGTGGAGACCATGGGAGATGTATGTGGGACACAGAGAGCCTCTGGCAGGTCAGCTTTCCTTCTGGGGACCAAACACATCTAAAAACCTGCAAAGTGCTGGACTTGACCCTGCTCCAATCAGCAAACTGTGGGTCTCAGCAAAGGGGTGAAGCTTTGGGCCTTCTCCAGGCCAGCCTGAAGAGGGAGCTGCAGGGCACTGGAAGGCTCCAGCTCTGTCCACATCACCTGCTTGGACTTTCACAGCCAGGCTTTGGTCAGTTTGGCTTAGACAGTTTTAAACAGCTGCAGGCCCATTATTGGGAATTGGTTTCCTATCTGGCTTTGCCCTTCATCCAGGTGCTGTTCTGAGAGCAGGGGCTAGGCACCTGGGCTAGCTTTGGATGCCAGGTCAGGCTGTCAGCTGGAGGTGTAAGGCAGGTGCCCTTAGGAAATAATAATTTCTCCAGGGTTGTCTAGGGACAATTCTCGACAAGATCTGAGGGGTTTGGAGCATAAGTGTTCCCGCTGTGAACAGACTTGCCTCCCCATGGCCCCGATGCTAGCTTTCTAAGCCTAACTATGCAAGCTGGTGCACATTGGTACATGGGCAGTGCCAGTCGGTTCAACATAGCCATTTCCGTGTGCCTGTTACACCCTGTTCTAAGCCACTCTTCGTGATTCTGAACCTTGACAGGACGTCATAGGCCAAGAAAGGCCCTCTTCAGTACACAGCACTGGGGAGCAAGTCTTTCCCAGGGAACCTTGTCCCTGTGGCTGGGTAAGGTCCGCCTAGGGGACAAAAGCCCGGCGGTGGTGAAGGCCCTTAGGAGCTCGCCGGTGGCTGCTGGGCACCATGCCAGTTAAGTGCAGGGGTGCCCTGCGGGGCCGGGGAGGGCATGACCCGCAAGTATTGGGACCGGGGACCGCGGGGGCGCGCTGGGCTCCGCGTCCCAGGAGCTGTCTGGTGGATCCGTGGGCGCGCGCGCAGGCTTGGGGTCGAGGGGGCGTGCGGGAGAGGGAGGAGCAGCCGGGACAGGCGCCTGGAGGGCCGGGAAAGTGAAAGGGCGGCGGGTCCAGGAAGTCGCGGGCAGGAAGCGCCCGCGGCGGCCGGGTGGGGCCGGACCTGGAGCGCGCAGGTGGGCGCAGGGCCCCGGCGACCCGCGGGACCCTCCCCGGCCGCGCACCTGCCGCGCCCTGCGCCTTCCACCTCCATCCGCAGGGCTCTGGGACCATCCAGCGCTTTCCCAAGAGGAAAGCCTTGGACGTAAGCGATTCTCGAAGAGTGATCCCCGGCGACCGTGCCCCGGGGTGGCAGTGCCCCGCGTTCCCGGGCTGGCCAGGCTGGGATCCCCAGGGAAGTGGAGGCGGAAGGCGCGGGTTGAGGTCCCGGGCTGGGGTCAGTGCAGCCGGGAGGCCGGGTCCCCTCGCGACTCCAGCTTGGGTGGAGGTGACAGCTGGGGGCTCCGGCAGGAGGAGACCAGGGCGCATTGTCTGCCGCGGCGCACGGGGACGTGGGCGTGTCCGCCGCCTTCGCCACCCAGCCGGCTGCTGTGCAGACTCGGGGAGGAGCCGGTTCGCAAAGCCCTTGGGAAAGCTCGGAGCCGGCACCCTGGGCTTTCGGGTTGTTTGTGTGCTGAAGGGCAGTTCCCCTGCGGGCCCAGGCGAGGGACAGCCACCTCCGGGCTGGAATAAAGAGCGGAAACCAGCTACAAAGTGGACCTCCCAGCGCTTGCTGCCAACCCTGGGATCTGGGCGAGCTGGCAGGTAAAGATTTGCATTTGAACTGAAGACCCTCCCTGGCCCCAGGGTTGGAATTTTAAAGGAGGAATTTCCCAGCCTGCCTTTTCCCTGGTCTTCAGAGTTTGCAACCTGGAGGGCGCTGCCCGCCTGCTCCACCTTGACTTAAACTGTGCGAAGTTGTGCGAGTTGGGAAATCGATCAATCCCAGGTTAGAGGACTCTTGGAGACCTGCTCTCTAGACCGACCATTTGCTCCCTCTGGTCTAGGAACTGCGCTTACAGGTTGGGCTCTGTGCAGAGCACGTGGGATGCACTGTTTGTTGTGGGTAGGTGAGTGGCCCTGTGACAGAACTGATTCCTTTTAGTACTTACGCCACCGACAAGTGAAAATGAGTTTCCCTTCGTCCTGATGAGCCTTTAAAAGCTTAGAAAGGTGCTTGATCCGAATTTTGTCTCTAAGAAAAAAAAAAAAAACTAATGAGACTTTGGGGGCATGTTCATGTAGATTTGTCCTTAAAATGGGCCCCAATTTTAAAGTGTTGCCTTAGGTTGGATGTGTGTGGGACTGCTCTGACTGTTGGTATGTGCTCCAGCCCAGCCTTTGTTGATTTCCAGTCCCACAGAAGGCTGATAGGAACTGTCCTGAGTGGCACAGACACCCCCGCACCCCCCACCCACCCCACCCACCCCCCAGGGGCAGGGAGGGGAGCTTGTGGGTGTGTTTCTCTCAGCCCTTGACTAGGCGCTTTGAGAGGAGTTGGCTTTGGTAGGAGCCCCTAATTACTCTCCTCACAGTGCAATAACACTGCTTTCCTATCTTTTTTCTCTAATGGGTTGAAAAGTTCACTGGGCGCTTATAAGGGGTTACATTTAAAAACTGCTTTCATGTGTTTGGGCTGTGTGCCAAAGCCCGTCAGCCAAGCCACATGCTTCCTTTCTGTGGCCCTTTGCAAGGATGGACAGGAGGTGGGGCCCTGCAGCAGGAGGTGCCCCAGGTAAAGGGGAAGCCTGGGCAGTGCCTCACTGTGAAGCCCCCCTGGCAGGCTGGCCTCATCTCTCTCCCCTTGAAGTGGAAGCTGTGCCCCTTTGTCAACTGGCCCTGGGGCTCCAGGAGGTCCTGTCAGTGGACCTCAGGGCCTGGAAATTTGAGAAAACAGGTTTCAGGGTGCTGTCCAGGCCAGGGAGGAAGAGGCTTTATTAAGCCAAGTTCTCAACACCCCAAATGTGCAGTCACCACCTGTGATCACCTTGAGGCCCACTTCTTGTGAGAACATACCCCAGCTGCTTTCATCCCCTTACAGAGGAAGAACTGGCCTTGCTTGAAGAAGCAGCAAACGGCCTTTTTCCTACTGGTCTTCAGCGCCCCTCCGAGCTTTGTTGGTTCAGGTTTTACCTAGCTGCGTGGTGGGGGACTTTGTTGATGGCAGTGGAGTATTTCCAGTATTTTGGTCCAGGAAGAAATTTGATTCTGGCCATCCAATTTCAGGCCCTGTACAACTGAAACTAAATCCTTTACCTTGAAGCCATCATCACAAAATTGTGTTACAGGTGCACTTGAAGTAGATGTAGGACCAAGCCAGGTGCACTTAGTTTGGATTAAACGTTCAGCAAAGTAACACACTTAAATATAGAGGTCTGAGCCTACATGTTTCTGCTTTTCATCTAACCAAGCTCCTTTTTCTTGGTTTTTGGAGACAGGATCTTTACTTTGTAGCACAGGCTGGTCTGGTACTCACTATGTAACCCTAACTGTCCTCAAACTCAAAACAATCAGTTCTCTTCCTCAGCCTCCTGGGTGCTGGGATTACAGGCACAAGCCACCCAGCCAGCTCCAGTCGATATTTTTGCTCTTGTCTGAGCTAGGAAATGGGACAGGATACATTCCTACAGCCCCACCCTCTCCTGGGTTCACCTGCAGAACCACTCAGGCAGGCTAATATTGATAGACTATCCACCATGTACAAGGCCCTGTGCCAAGGCCTTTCTGGAATCATCTTTGTGTGTACGACAATGTTAGTGCCATCTGGCTATAAGCCTCACTTTCTGGTTGGAGAAGGTAAGAAAGGAGACAGGCCAGTGGCCTGGGCCTGCGCTCTGCAGGTCTGAGTGGTATCAAGAGTGAGAGACACCAGCTGAGGCCCTGTGCCCTAGGAAAGGTGAGCACTCCTGGTTGGGGCACAGCACCACAGGAGAGGTAGGATGGTTTCTGGGATAAACTCTTCGAGATTGTCGTGTGTGTGTGTACATTGCCAGGGATAGAACCCAGAGCCTCTGCTCTGCCACTCTGCCATGGAGCTACAGCCCCAGCCAGGATGTGTGTTTTTTGTTGTCATTCATAAGAATCTAATGTTTAATTGTGGCTGCACCAGGGCAAAGATCTGATCACATATTTTATAAAAGATCTGATGTCCACAGGGTCTTAGAGGCTCCTGTGCTGGGTGAAGAACTGGTAGATTAAGGGACATCATTACTATCGCCTACGTGTAAGCAGCACTTAAGTGTGCAGGATGTGTATTTTTTTGAAAGCTTGCTGGAGAGGGACAGAGAAGATGGATGCAGGGGGCAGATCTCACTAAGGAAGACACAGTGACAGGACCGCAAGCCCTGAGAATGGTTTTGGACTTAGGATGTGAGACCAGGCCTCCCTGATGGCAGGGCCCCTTATCAGCTCTCTGGCTTCCCTCCCTCCTAGCCTTGCCATTCTTCAGCACAGACTTCAAAATGAGCTTATTTTCTACTGCTAATGACGGGAGCACAGGTGAGGGAGGGAACCTCAGAGGCAGATCGGAGGTGAAGTTCCTTCCCACAGCAGCAGAGCTGATTGCAAAGCCATGATGACTGATCCCATTTGGCCCAGACCCACGCTCCTCTGGTGTTGAGGCTTAAAGGTGGCCCGAGGGGTACTCATGGAGGTGAACAGACCTGGGGTCCCCTGTGCTCTGATGATTGTGCCCACGATTGAACAGTAGGCACATGCTTTCTTTCACTTAAATACCAGCCATTGGACTGCAGTGTTGGGCTGGCTGTGGCTGGACTCATCTCTGGAAGCCCTCATGGCAGAGATGAGTGCCTGCTCCCCTTGAACACAATGCTCTAGGCCGTCGATCTGCCACCCGTAGCACTCTGCATCTGTGGAATGACTTCTGCCCAAGGGCATCTCTGAGGAGCATTGTCAGGACCATAGATTTGAATGCTTTTCTTTCTCTCTTAGAGCTCAGACCCTGCTGGGAGAGGGAACAAGACCCAGCCAGACGCCCTCCCTGTGGTATTCCAGGCTGTGTGAGCTGTACGGCAATCCAAAGAATTCAAAGACAAGATTCATAACCTGTGTATGAAGCATCTGATTTCAGAGCTGGGGCTTCGAGGTCAGGGGTAACATAAATGGCTCGTCTCCCCGCTGGAATCCGCCTCATCATCTCTTTCTCCAGGGATCAGTGGTGAGTTCTGGTGGCCATCTCTCGGGGGGGGGGGGTGCTGTGTGTGTGCTGGAGGCAGAGTGACCGTGGGTGACGGGTGGACTTCATGTATTTCATTATGGAAACGTGGTGGTAGGCCTCCTCTTAACTGTTAGTGGCCTTCAGTGGTAGATGTGACCTGGATCCCTGCCAGGAGTCTTGAGAGTTGGTGGCAACATTCACAGGCAGCATTTAGACTCCTGGGTGGTCTTTAGTGACTCCTGTAAACCGCTGGCAGTTGAGAGGAACAACCACTGCCATTGGCAGGAGTGTGAAATGGTGTTCCTAAAGCCAGCGGTCCTCAGCCAAGCCAGACCAGTGGCCTGACTGAGGTGGCAACTTTCAGGGAGAGGGAAGCTTCTCTCCTCCCCTTTCACAGTGAGTTATTTGGTGCAAGTTAAACTGACCGGACAGGTAAACAAAGACAAGGTTTTAAGGACTGTGAATGGGAGTTCGAGAAACGTGCCTGGGGGATGTTTTTAAACAGCTCCTTAGCAGAATAGAAGGTAATGCCTATTACTGTTAGGGGAGAGTTCTTTTCGCCCTCCTGGTTGCTTCCAGGGAGAGAATTTGTGACAACCAAGCTCTTCTGAAGTCTTTCAGGAAGTTCTGCTTTTAGGCAGATAAGAGACCCCAAGAAGCTCCAGAGCTTTTCCGTTCAAAATGATAGTCTTCCACACTGCACATTCCAACCCACTCATCCGCTCCCTGCAGACCCACTGGGGCCAAATCCCTCAGGGTCCTCCAGAGGGTCTCCCAGGGTTGATGTGCAAACATCTGCAGATGGCTTCCTTTGATGACTCTTACTTTACACCTGCTGTGCACCTAGGCACAGCTCCTTAAACACTTTGACAGAGTGGCCATGTAGTTTGTCTTGCAACACAATGATGATCTATTTCAAGCTCACAGAACTTACTTTCTTAAGAATGTATATTTATGTGTGTCCTAGATTATTACTGCTTGCCTGGATTGCTTCTGCTCCTGTTTATAAATGTATGCTGCAGGCATCATACATTTTTTATTTCTAAGTATTTCTATGTATACTTTGCATGAATAAGACCGTCTCTTGGGCTGGGCATGTCGCTCCATGGTAGCATACTTGCTTGGCATGGCTGAGGCCTGGGTTCAGCTGTAGGACGCTGTCATCTAATCCACAGCCATGTTAAGCATGGTGTCAAGTGTCCTGTAAGACCTTGGGCAGTTTTCTCCTCTGTCCAGCACCCCTGCAGGGTCACACACTGTACTCTTTCATCTTGGGAGCTCTCCTCCCCTTTAGTCTAGAATCATCCCTTGGCCCTTTTCTGCCTTTTACGATGTCGGCATTGTTGAAAGCTTCAGGTGTGCATTTTATGGGCTGTCTCTCACTCTGAATGTGCTCAAGCTCAGCAAGAGAGTCAGACAGTGTCTTTTTGGCAGGTGGAGAAAGGCTGCTTTCTTGTGGGAGAGGGAGAGGCCACAGACACCTCAGGGAGAAGGGGGATTGGGAGGGACCCATGGTGTCAGATTGGCACCAGGGCCTCCCCAAGAACCTGTGGAGGCCGATGGGTATAGAAATAGATACATGAGGGAGGAGTGGGAAGTCCTCCTGGAGGAGCAGCAGCCTGAGCCCTGTGCCTGCATGACTCTTGTCATGCAGCCTGGCTCCTGTCTGAGTGACTCTTCCCACTGGTGGGAGCTGGGGCCTGGTGGGATCATGCCTCCACTAGCAGGGAGGACAGAAGCTGGGAAGGAATGCTGTGTGACGCCAGGAAAGGAGGCCGGTGTAAAACACAAAGGGACGGATGCTGACTGGCCAGATCTATGACAACTTGAGACTTCAAATAGTTGATCCTCATTGCGGGTGGTGGTGACTGTTTCTCAGTGACTGAGAAACAGCATCTGACACATTCTGACCGGTGTGACTGGATGCCCCTGCCACTGGAGCAGGACAGTGCTTCCTTCCCCAGGGGACCAGCTGGGGGCTTCCGTGGCCCCCAATCCAAGGGACAGTTTGAAGGCTGGGCCATCTCCATCATCTCAGAGTATGCACCCACAATCTCCTATTCACTGTTGTAGGCTGTGTCTTAACTAGTCCCGTTGCTGAATGGGACTTAAAGTGCTCAAAAGCATTTGTTGATCCCCCACTGCCATGTGACCGAGCTGAGTGACAGTGAACCAGGGGCTTGATTCTGCCTAGGCAGCTACCACTGCTCCTGAAGACCCGGACACTCAAGGGTTTGCCACAGAGTCCATCGTGGTGAGGAAGGCTTGGCTGTAGGAGAGGCTGTCAGCTTTGATGACAGGAGCTTGAGGCTGCTTGCTCAGTTGCAGAACAGGAAGTAGGGCCAGGCTACACACCTCAAGCCCCACCCCCCAGAGATCTACTTCCTCCAGGTAGACACCACCTCCTAAAAGAAGTTTTACAACCTTCCAAAACAGTATCATCAGCTGGCAACCAAACGTTCAACGTATGAGCTGCCCAGCCATGTCCAAGTTGTAGCCCACAGCGCTGATTATGGCCCAGCTCAACATCATAAACGTAATTGAAATGTCATGAGATTTTTTTTTCCTGTGATTTGGTTGTTGTAACTTTATGGTTCTTGAACAGAACTTTGTAGGTAACAGTGCTGTTACAATATCACATGGTTGGGCCCATCGGAACAATAACACACAGCCCTAGTAGAATCTGCAGGTACATCCTGGCCCTGGCCTGGCATTGTCAGGACATGGGTTTTGCCGAGACATTAGAGACTAATTCAAACACGGTTCTTGTGCTGACAGGTACAGTTTGACATAACTGCAAACATAAATGAGCACTGGTGAGAAAGCACTGAGATCATTCTCTTCCCATCGCATAGACCCAAGGGGCCATATTCCTTTCCTGAGTTTTCTGTACAAAAAACCCTAAACCTAAGGTCTCAGAACACAGAAGCCTGGACATTTCTGGAGGTTGGAAGGCCACAGTCACAGTGTCAGCAGGGCCACGGCCCCTCCAGGTGAACGCTTTCCCACCTCTCCCAAGTCTTGGTGCTGCTGCAGCGCCTGCTATCCCTGGTGTCCAGCTACGTCACACTGACCTCTGTCCTTGTTACCATACACCCTCCTCTGTGTCTCTGTGTTTTCCTATGAAGACACCCATCATTGGGTTTAGGGCGATATCCTAACTTCATAAGACCTCACCTTAACTAATTACTTCTTCAAAGACCCTATTTCTAAATAAGTTCATGTTTGAAAACTGGATGGACACGAATTTCTAGAGCACACCATTCCAGTCTCTGTAGAATAGTTAAGCAGAAACAACGGTCCCAAACCCCTAAACGGTGAAGAAAGAAGATGGGGAAGTCCCCGAGTGAACGTGCACCGTGAGAGGCTCTGACTTCAGTCAGAGACCAGCCGGGCACGGTAGGCTGCCACGGGGAAGGACCAACTCACAGTGACAGCTGCAGGGAAAGCTTCCTAAGAGGGGCTGCACAAACTACAGCCGGTGGCTTTCCCTCACTCCAAATCCTCTGAGGAAGCCGAGGATTTGGAAATGGAGGAAGCAGACTAGACCCAGCCCAGACCAGCTGATGGGAGTGCTTCCTTTCCTGTCCCTGGGAAGTTCTGCCTGCCCTTTCATTGACCTTAGACTCCAGCCCACAGGCAGGTTCTGGGAAGGGCTGCTGCCTTGAGGTGCCCGCTCTTCCTGAAGGTGCATCTTCTGCACACAGAAGGGAACTGTGGGCCACAGGGGCTCTGCCCTTCCTGTGTGGAGCTCCAAATTCAGCGCTGGGAGGAGCAGTCCCTCAGCCTGCAGGCTGCGTGCCACCTTCAAGTGTATGGTGGGGGCCCAAGGCATCCTCATCCCTCCAGGCTCCTTTACTGAGGAATGAGGTCTGTGTCTGGGCCTGGGCCCTCCTCAGCCCTCATCCTTGTGAGAAAGGAGTTTCAGTTCCAGTCTTTGGGTAGAGGGCCAGAGCTACTGAGTCATCCACCTGCCCTGATTTCCCTGGCCAGTCAACCCTGAGCAGCAAGGGCCAGAGAGATGCCCCCTGCTCTGAGTCAGACTTAAGAGGTGCTGGAGGGAACCCTGCATCCCACAGGCAGGTGGAACCCCTGCAGGCTGCCCTGCCCCGTGTACTCAGAGGAAAGGTCCGGAGAGCCTGACTGTAGGCTGGAAATGTGAGGGTTGCTGGAGGTCAGTGCTGGCCTGTCCTCATACCAGCTGAAGGTGTGGACAGCAGAGTAGCTTCAACCAAAGAGTGGAAACTTTCTGTTCTGCCCCAGGGAAGGTCCTCAAAGGCCCAGACCTGGCCTCACAGCAAGTCCAACAGGCCCAGGTCTGTCCCCTGGACTCTGGAATGAATTCTGCACATTTTTCTAGAGAGTCCCTTTCTTCCTTCTGGTCATGTTGTGGGCTAGAATGCAACATCCTGGAGAACCCTTCCACGTGGGCTTCCCTGGAAGAGGAGAGCTGGGGACAATTCTTCCTTCCTTAGCAAGTTCCCGCTGTATATTTGACTATTCTTCCCCACAGGACCACTAGCCTACTTTCTGCTCCTGAGATGAGATCTTTTTTTTTTTTAAAGTTTGGACATCTATATTGATCTGCTTGTAAAAAAATTTTTTTTTACATTTATTTACTCATTTTATGTATATGTGTTTGTGTTGGATATGCACGTGCTATGACGCACATGGGAGGTCAGAGTTACAACTTGCAGGAGTCAATCTCTCCTTCCACCATGTGGGTTCCAGGAATTGAAAACGAGTTATCAGGCTTGATGGCAAGCACCTTTACTCACCTAGATCCTTGACCTTAACTCTCTGTTGGTGGCCAGAAACAGGCTTGCCTGGAATTCTAGGATTCTGTGTCATTCATGGAATGCGTCCCTTGAGGCAGCTTGGAGCTCAGCAGACCTCCAGAGAGTGCCAGGTTCTGGCCTCCCTCTGGCCTCCAACTACCAGAGGGCCTGAGAACCCAGGGGACAGCCTGACAGCCCCCATCCTGCCTCCACGTGGTGGTG